TTCCACTACACCCCCGGTCCTTCGTTCCACTACACACCCGGTCCTTCGTTCCACTACACACCCGGTCCTTCGTTCCACCTACACCCGGTCCTTCGTTCCACTACACCCGGTCCTTCGTTCCACCTACACCCGGTCCTTCGTTCCACCTACACCCGGTCCTTCATTCTACTACACCCAGTCTTGCCACCTGTGCACTGAATCTCTCCTTGCCTTCTCAGAAACTGGGCCGTTCCCATCTTTTGCAGTTTTCCTCAACACCTCCCTCTCTACTTCCCATCAAACTTCTACACTGCTTGCATTTCAGTAACACAGTCTTCAAGAATCAGCCTAATTAATCTCCAGCCAAAGCAAACGGCCAGGAATGCCTGACCCAAGGGATTCATTCACAGGCTAAGCTAAGCTAGTCAGACTCAAGATTCTGTTTCTAGCAGTTAAAAACAGAGGGTGTCAGGGCATGATTGCTCACACCTGTAATCCCTGCACTTTGGGAGGCCAAGGAAGGTAGACAGCTTGAGCACAGGAGTTGGAGACCAGCTTGGGCAACACGGCAAAACCCCATCTCATCAAAAAATATGGGCCAGGCACGGTGGCTCACGCCTGTGATCCCAGCACTTTGGGACGCCAAGGTGGGTGAATCACCTGAGGTCAGGAGTTCGAGACGAGTCTGGCCAACATGGTGAAACCTCGTCTGTACTAAAAATACAAAAAAATTAGCCTGGTGTGGTGGTGGGTGCCTGTAATTCCAACTACTTGGGAGGCTGAGGCAGAACTGCTTGAACCTGGGAGGCGGAGGTTGCAGTGAGCCGAGATTACGCCCCACAGCACTCCAGCCTGGGCAGAGCCAGATCTTGTCTCCAAGAAAAGGAAGAAAAAAACAAACACAAAACAAAACAAAAACCACCGAAAGCTCATCAGCTGTGTTAGATGAAAATGGCCGCAGCATCACCATGATGAACCATGTGGGAGCTGAGGAATAAAGAAAAGCCACCAGTATGCAAAGAATGGTGTGAAGCAGGGAACCCCAAGAGAAAACCTACAGGCCCCAGAAGAGAAACATAGAGGAAAACAGATATGGTTCTTAAACACTTTGCAGTTCCAGCTGCTAGGACCTACACCACTATTCCCTTCAAATAACCCGTCGTCCTTTTCCAGAAGTAATCATTTCAGTTGGGTTTCTATTCCATGCAGGCATGAAACAGAAAAATCTTCACTGGAACATACCTTATGTGGCTTACCTAAGTTAATCTGGGAAGAAAATAAACTAATCAGAGATAAGATTCACAACCGGGTGCTCCCACCTATAATCCCCACACTTTGGGAGGCTAGGGCAGGAGGATGACTTGAGCTCAGGAATTCAAGACCAGCCTGGTTTACAAAGTGAGAACCCTTCTCTACAAAAAAGAATTTTAAAAAATTAGCTGGGTGTGGTGGCACACACCGGTGGTCCCAGCTACCTGGGAGGTTGAGGTGGGAGGCTCGCTTGAGCCCAGGAGGCAGAGGTTGCAGTGAGCTGAGACTGGGCCACCAAACTCCAGCCTGAGCGACAGAGCGACCCTGTCTCAAAACAACCAACCAACCGCCAACAACAAAATGACTCACCACAGTTTGCAGTTATGATCAGACTAAACATCTAACACCTCTTTCTTCCTTTCTTTTCTTTTCTATTTTTTTTTTTTAAATAGAGACAGGGTCTCACTTTGTTGCCCAGGCTGGTCTCAAACTCCTCAACTCAAGTGATCCTCCCACCTTGGCCTCCCAAAGTGCTGGGATTACAGGAGGGAGCCACTGCACCTGGCCTCCCACACCTATTTCAAAGAATTATCAAGCAAAACTCACTGAACTTACTCCAATTAATTAGTTTCTCTGCTTCGATAAAATGCTTCCAATTAGCTATAGAGATACACCCTGTTTCCTTGTACTTCCTGTTATTGAAGGTTTGTGGGAGCCGTGTGTCAAGCGCCTCTACTGGCTCCATTTTTCAATCAGCGAGTGCTCACCGCGTGTCTCTGTGTCACCTTTTGGTAATACTTGTGGTGTTTCTCTTTTTCATTATTTTATCTATTACAGTATCTGTGAACATTCTCTCTGATGTTACTATTCGGTTTTTGGGCACCACAAGCCAGGCCCACACAAGACTGCAAACTTTATGCTCTGACTGCTCCACCTACTGGGAGTTTCCCATCTCCCTCCCTCTACTCAGGCCTCCTTATTCCCTGAGACATGACAGTATTAAAATCAGACCAATTAATAACCCCACCATTGGAGGCCTCTAAGCACCCAAGTGAAAGGAAGTGTTGTACATCCTCAAAATCAATCAATTGCTAAAAATGATTAAGCTTAGTGAGAAAGGCATGTTGAAAACTGAGACAGACACGCTAGGCCTCTTGCACCAAACAGCCAAGCTGTGAATGCAAGGAAAAGTGCTTGAAGGAAATTAAAAGTGCTACTCCAGTGAACACACAAATAACAAAGCAAAATAGGCTGGGCGCAGTGGCTCACACCAGCACTTTGGGAGGCTGAGGCAGGCAGATCACCTGAGGTCAGGAGTTGGAGACCAGCCTGGCCAACATGGTGAAACCCCATCTCTACTGAAAATACAAAAATTAGCTGGGAGTGGTGGCAGGCGCCTGTAATCCCAGTTACACGGGAGGCTGAGGCAGGCAGAATCACTTGAACTTGGGAGGCGGAGTTTGCAGTGAACTCAGATCGCACCTTTGTACTCTAGCCTAGGCGAGCTAGACTCTGTCTCAAAAAAAAAAAAAAGAAAAGAAAAGAAAACAAAACAGCCTTACCGCTGTACTGCTGAAAAGGAGAAAGTTTTAGTGGCCTGTATGGAAAAATCAAACCAGTCACAACATTCCCTTAAGCCAAACCCTAATGCAAAGCAAGGTTCTAACTCTCTTCAATCCTATGAAGGCGAAGGGAGTTAAGGAAGCTACAGAATAAAAGCTGGAAGCTAGCAGAGGTTGGTCCATGAGGTTGAAGGAAAGAAGTCATCTCCGTAACATCAAAGTGCAACAAGGTGAAGCAGCAAATGCTGATGCAGAAGGTGCAGAAACTTATCTAAAAGATGTAGTTAAGATAATTCACGAAGGTAACGACACTAAATATGTTTACGTTTGACAAAACAGTCTTCTACTGGAAGAAGCTGCTGTCAAGGACTTTCACAGCTAGAGAGAAGTCAGTGCCTGCACTCAAAGGTTCAAACAGGCTGACTTTCTTGTTAGGGGTCATGTAGCTGGTGACTTCCAGTTGAAGCCAATGCTCATTTAACATTCCAAAATCCCGGGTCCCTTAAAAATTATGTTAAATCTACTCTGTGTTCTAGAACTGTAAAAACAAAACCTGGAAAGATAGCACATCAATTTACAGCATGGCTTACTGAATATTTTAAGCCCATTGTTGAGACCTACTGCTCAGAAAAAGGATTCAACATATTACTGCTCATTGACAATGCACTAGTCACGTAAGAGCTCTGATGAAAATGTAAATAAAAATGAATGTTGTTTCCAGTCTGCTAACCCAGCATCCATTCTGCAGCCCACAGATCAAGGAGTCATTTCAACTTTTAAATCTTATTTAAGAAATACATTTTGGCCAGGCATGGGGGCCAAATTTCAACTTTGGGAGGCTGTGGTGAGAGGATTACTTGAGTTCAGGAGTTTGAGACAAGCCCTGGCAACACAGCAAGAAACCATCGCTACAAAAAAGAAAATTAATTGAGTGTGGTGGTCTACTCAGGAGAGTGAGGCAGGAGGATCACTTGAGCCGGGGTGGGGAGTCAAGGTTACAGTGAGCTACGACCACTGCACTCCAGCATGGGCAAGAGACCCCCCCCCCACCTTTTTTTTTTCCCCAAAGGCTATAGCTGCCATAAATACAGATTCCTCTGATGGATCTGGGCAAAATAAACTGAAAATCTTCTGGAAAGGATTCACCCGTCTAAATATCATTAAGAACATTCATGAGTCATAGGAGGTCAAAATACCAACATGAACAGGACTTTGGAAGAGGTTGATTCCAACCCTCATGGATGACTTCGAGGGTTTTAGAACTCACTGGAGGAAGTCACTGCAAGAGAACTAGAATTAGAAGTGGAGGATGGCGATGGGACTGAACTGCTGCAGTCTCATGAGCAAGCATTAAAGGGAGGGGAGCTGCTTCCTATGGATGAGCAAAGAAAGTGACTTCTTGAGATGGAATCTACTTCTGGTGAAGATGCTTTTAACACTGTTGAAATGACAACAGAAGATTTAGAATACTGCATAAACTTGGTGGATAAAGCTGCGGCAAATTTGAGAATGACTCCAGTTTTGAAAGAAGTCCTACTGTGGGTAAAACACTAGCAAACGGCAACACACGCCACAGAGAAACTGTTTGTCGAAGACATCGCCAATTAATGCAGCAACTTCACTGCTGTCACATTTTCAGAAACTGCCACAGCACCCATCACCCTGATCAGTCAGTAGCCATCAATTTCAAGAGCCTCTACCAACAAAAAGATGACTCACTGAAGATTCAGGTGATCGTTAGCACTTTTTAGCAAAAGATTTTTTAAATTAAGTCACGTGCGTATTTTTAGATGTAAAGCTACTGTACACTTAATAGACTACAGAATAACGTAAACGTAACTTTTATATGCACCAGGAAACCAAACAATTTGTGACTTGTCTTATTGCAGTGGTCGGAACTGAACCAAAGCAAGCCTGTACTTACTAGCAGTTTAGCTTGCTCTGGAAGAGTGATCTGTTCCCTTTTTCCATCTGGATACCGCAACATCAGCTGTGCTTTTGGTCCTAAAGGAAGGGTTTAAAAAAAAAACAAAAAACGGGATACAGGAGTTTAAGACAGAGTATTAGTTTAAATAAATATGTAAATAAATACAGCCATTCAGCAATTATTCAAGTGTTTTGCTGGAGTGCAGTGGTGCGATCTCAGCTCACTGCAACCTCCGCCTCCCTGGTTCAAGCCACTCTCCTGCCTTAGCCTCCCAAGTAGCTGGGACTATAGGCACATGCCACCATACCTGGCTAAGTTTTGTATTTTTAGTAGAGACAGGGTTTTGCCATGTTGGCCAGGCTGGTCTTGAACTCCTAACCTTGAACTTTTGAGATGGAGTCTCACGCTTGTTGCCCAGGCTGGAGTGCACGCCCAGCCCCAATATCCAAGTTTGAAGGAAAGTATGTCTATAATGTAACTCACCATTTACATCTATCCCCTCCACTACTCCATCTGATTTTTCAGGTGGCATCTCGAGTATCTCTGAATCCACAGCTGGCAATCCTTGGTGGTTTGTGGCTGTTCCAGTTCCAGGATCAGTTCTGACTGGGGGCTCATTCAGCGGCCTTCTATTCTCCTCTTTTCTATGCCCCAAATCTTTATGGGGAGACTTTCTGGACTTGGCAAGATTCTCTACCTCTTCTTCTTCATCAGAGCCACAAACGGATATGAACTCCTCACTGCCAGAAAAAAGTTCAGACTCAGATTCTTCATCTGAGCGGCTATCCTGTTTTGTCTGTGTTGAATCGAAATGTGTTTCTTGTAAGGAGGCTCTGATGGCAGCTTCTAGCTGGCTGTCTTCACTTGCATCTATAAGGCTCTCCTGTGAGATGGAGTCATAAAACACAGGAAGAAAAACAAGTTAAACCAAAAAACAGGTCAAACAGCATAAGAAATATCATAGCTTGCCATTCATTATGATGTTCTGCTGACTGTATCCCTTCTACTTTAAGAGCAAGGACTGTGTCTTACATAGCCACACTGGAATAGAGATATATACGTGTGTGTGTATACACACACACACAAACACACATATGTTTTTGTTGTTTTTTGTTTTATTTTGTTTTTGAGATGGAGTTTCACTCTTGTTGCCCAGGCTGGAGTGCAGTGGCGCAATCTTGGCTCACTGCAACCTCAGCCTTCCCAGGTTCAAGCGATTCTCCTGCCTCAGCCTCCCGAGTAGCTGGGATTACAAGCGCCCGCCACCATGCCCAGCTAATTTTTATTTACTTATTTTTTTGTATTTTTAGTAGAGATGGGGTTTCACCACGTTGGCCAGGCTGGTCTCAAACTCCCGATCTCGGCCTCCCAAAGTGCTGGGATGACAGGCGTGAGCCACCGCCCCCAGCCTATATATATCTATATATTTTTTAAGAGACAGGGTCTCACTATGTTCCCCAGGCTGGTCTTGCGCTTCTGGGCTCAAGTGATCATAGGCATTTTTAAAAATATCAAAATGAAAGCCAGGAGTGGTGGTTCATGCCTGTAATCCCAGCACTTTGGGAGGCCAAGGCGGGTGGATCAAGAGGTCAAAAGATCGAGACCATCCTGGCCAACATGGTGAAACCCCGTCTCTACTAAAAACGATTAAGCTTAGTGAGAAAGACGTGTTGAAAGCTGAGACAGACACAAAGCTAGGCCTCTTGCACCAAACAGCCAAGCTGTGAATGCAAGGAAAGGTTCTTGAAGGAAATTAAAAGTGCTACTCCAGTGAACACACAAATGATAACAAAGCAGGACAGGCCGGGCGCAGTGGCTCACACCTGCACTTTGGGAGGCTTGAGGTGGGCAGATCACCTGAGGTCAGGAGTTGGAGACCAGCCTGGCCAACATGGCGAAACCCCATCTCTACTAAAAATTCAAAAATTAGCTGGCCATGGTAGTGCACGCCTGTAGTCCCAGCTACTTAGGATGCTGAGGCAGAAGAATCAATTGAACCCGGGAGGAGGAGGCTGCCGTGAGATCGTGCCACTGCACTCCAGCCTGGTGACAGAGCAAGACTCCATCTCAAAAGCAAAACAAAATAAAAATCAAAATGAACAAAATCAAGAAACGTTTATGTATTACCTGCCTAGAGAAAGACAAGAATTAAAAGTTTTAACTATAAAGTCAAAACACCACTCTTTAAAATGACTAAAACATAGAGACCAGTGTTTACTTTGTTCACCACTTTATTCTTCAACTAGTAATTCCATTAATTATAATGAAGGTTTTCATCATGATAACGAGAAATGCAAACTTCTACAGTTTTTCCCTTTTGGTAAAGTTCTAATGCCATAGATTTTACTAAACTTAATGAATCACAAAATAATGTTATTTGAGTGGAACTTACTCCTGACTCAAACATACTATAGAAGAAAAAAATTGTAAGATAATCTAAAGTTGAACACTGGATATCTCACGATATTACAGAATTACTGCTAATTTTTAAGGGTATAATAATGACATGGTGATAGTATTTTAAAAAATAAAAAAGCCTTTATCTTTTAAATATAAATCCCAGAGTATGTATTAATGAAACAATGAATTCTGAGATTTGCTTCAAAATAATTCAGATATGGGATCTAGAGGAAAGAAGACTGGCCATCTGTTGATAATTACTGAAATAAGCTAATGAATACAAAGAGGCTCAATAAACTACTTCAACTTTGAATATGCTTAAAATTTTCCACAATAAATAGGTAAAAAAGAAAAAAAAGTGGGTTGCCAATAAAAAACTAAAGAAACCACATTTTGTTTTTTACTATCAGGCAATCATGTAGCAAAAAATTAAAGGGAAAAACGTTTTTGTTTTTGTTTTTTTTTTTTTTTTTTTTTTAGACAGGTTACTCTGTCACCCAGGCTGAAATGCAGTGGTGCAATCTTGGCTCACTACTCCCTCCACCTGCCAGGCTCAAGCAATCCTCCCACCTCAGCCTCCCAAGTAGCTGGGACTACAGGCACAAACCACTACACCCGGCCAAAAGAAAATTTAAAAATAAACTAATTCACCACCCCTAAAAAGCAAGCAGAGGTGTCTGTGTGACATGCAATGGCTTAGGTGGATCGTAAATTTACAGCAATGACGCTGCACAGATAGCGTGTAGCTTGACTTTAAAAATTGTGGCCATGGCAGACACTATCAGGCTCCTATTGAATTTCATTCTCCTCTGATTTCCTTACAGAACCCTAATTAAGTTTATAAAACATGTTCAACAAAAAAATTCATTTTACTAATTTCTCTTGTAGCTAGAAAATAGTATTGAGCAATAGCAGTACTTATTGAAAAATTATAGAATTAAATGCTTATATTAGAAGAGAGAAAGGCATCAAATTAATGACCTAAGCTTCCCCACCTTAAAAAAAAAAAGAGCATACATCCAGGAAAAGAAAATAAAATTAAGCCCAAAGAAAACATAAATTAATAAATGACCTAGAAAGCAAATACAATAGAGAAAAACAAAAAACAAAACCACCACCAAAATCCCAAAGGCAATTGTTGTTGTTGTTGTTTTAAGAGGCAGAGTCTTACTGCTGCCCAAAGACTGGAGTGCAGCGGCCTCACAGGCATGATCACAGCACAGCACATCCCTGAACTCCTGGGCTCAAGCAAGACTCCTGCCAAGCAGATGGGACCACAGGCACATGCCACACCCCCGCTGGTTCCTTGAGATCAGTAAAACTACTACGCCTCTAGCCAGACTGTCGGGGAAAAAAGGGAAGCCAAAAATTACCAAAACAGAATTAAGAGAGGGGACAACTATAATCTCTATAGTCATTAATGGCATCACAGGGACTATAATGAACTCGTCAATATAGTAAAATGAACAAATCCCTAGAAAGATACAGCTTGCTAAAGCTTATCCAAGAAGAAACAGATAACCAAGTAGTCAGGTATCCACCAATCAGACTGAATTTGTAGTTTAAAACTTTCCATCAAAAAAACCTCTAGGCCCATGTCGCTTCACTGGTAAATATCATCAAACATTAAGGAAAAAATAATAACAATTCTACAGACACTACTGCAGATAACAGAAGAGGAAGAAACACTTCTCAATTTATTGTGAGGTCAGCATTAACATGCTACCAAAAGCAGAACATGACATTATGAAGCATTCCATGGAAGAGAGGAAACAACAACAAAAAAGCGCCCAAAAAACTGTAAATCAAGCAGGACTGCCTGAGGTCAACAAAATTTCTATACCATCCCTAAGGGCTTTTCCTTAAATAGGCACTTTATTATAGGTGATAACTGAAGGAAGTGTTCCTCACATCTTCTAAAACTATTTTTAGGCTGGGCATGGTATGGTGGTTCATGCTTATAATCCCAGCACTTTGGGAGGCCAAGGCAGGAGAATGGCTTGAGCTTAGGAGTTTCAGATCAGGCTGAGCAACATAGCGAGATCCTGCCTCCACAAAAATAAAAAATTAGCCAGGCAAGATGGTGCACACCCGTAGTCCTAGCTACTCAGGAGGCGGAGGCAAGAAGATCGATTGAGCCCAGGAGTTCAAGGCTAGCAAGTTTTTTTTTTCCCCCATGTTCTCTCAAGGTTGCAAGGACTACAGTGAGTTAATATTATGCCATTGCAGTCCAGCCTGGGCAACAGTGTGAGACCACATCTCAAAAAACACAATACAGTACAGTACAACACAACACAACACAATAAAAATTTTGCTGGGTGTGGTGCTCACGCCCAGAATCCCAACACTTTGGGAGGCTGAGGCAGGAGGATTGCTTGAGGCCAGTTTGAGGCCAGCCTGGACAACATATGGAGACCTCCGTCTCTACAAAAATTTAAAAACTTAGCTGGCATGGTGATGCACATCTGTGGTCCCAGCTACTTAGGAGGCTGAGGTGGAAGGATCGCCTGAGCCCAAGAGGTGGAGGCTGTAGTGAGCCATAATCACACCACTGCACTGCTGCTTGGGAAACGGAACAAGATCCTGTCTAAAGAAAAAAACAGGCCGGGCGAGCTGGCTCACGCCTGTAATCCCAGCACTTCGGGAGGCCGAGGAAGGCAGATCACTTGAAGTGAGGAGCTCGAGACCAGCCTACCCAACAAGGCGAAACCCCGTCTCTACTAAAAATACAAAAATTAGCCGGATGCGGTGGTGCATGTCTGTAATCCCAGCTACTTGGGAGGCCAAGACAGGAGAATTGCTTGAACCTGGAAGGCGGAGGTTGCAGTGAGCCAAGATCACACCACTGCCCTCTAGCCCTAGTGACAGAACAAGACTCCGGCTCAAAAAAAAAAAAAACAAAAAAAAAACCCCAATAAAACAAAACTATTTTTATCCCCACAGCTATCAAACCCAAATAGCCATGAAAACCTATGTGAGATTGCTGTATCTTTGCAAGTTCAGTCTCTTATTTGTAACTAATCTTGATACCAATTATCAAACAGGTCTACCTAGTAATAGTACATTCTAGAAATTAAGTATAGAAATAAATTCTAGGAGGGACAGAGAGCCAGGCCCTAAAACTATATTAACCAATAATAACGCTCAACTATACCACGAGAGTTGTTTCAACAAAAACGAAAAACACCACTTCCAGCCGGCTATGGTGGCGTGTACCTGTAGTCCTAGCTACTCGGGCAGTTGAGGTGAGAAGACTGCTTCAGCCCAGGAGTTCCAGGACAGCCTGGGCAAAATAGCAAGATCCCATCTCCAGAACAAAACACAAAACACACAAAAAACCCATCACTTGCACTGCTGTTTAGACCTGGCTATCAGAAGCCCTCCCAGAGCTGTCCCTAAGGAAGTAGATCCCTCTACCACTGGGCTTGCCAGATCAGTCCTCCTGCTCAACCTATTCACACTGCTTCCTTCTAAATCCAGATCTGGGGGCATCTGCCTGCACTCTAGCTGCAAGACAGACTGGGAGGAGTATGAGTATCATGATTTCACCGAGAAGATGGAACTCTCAAATGGGAAATTGAGGAGGATATCTAAGATGCTATAGCCACAAGTGACAGTTGTCCACTAGTTCGATTATCATTACCATCTTAACATCAAACATTTTATGTAAGATGCTTATGACCAATTACATTTATTTTCCCATCACCACCTCCTAATTATACTTACTGAACGGGCACATTTTTTGGGGGGACTGCTAGAAAGTCCATCCAGTTGTCCATGTTCACCCAGAAATCCCGTCACTTGGTCCAAGAAAGAAGATACATCTAACTGGTGCCATTCTACTAGCTTCTGACCTAAAGATTAAAACCAGGATATATAAATATAATATCTATAATCTTTCTGAACATTCTCATTAAGTATCTCTTTCAGCATATGCATAATTAAAGTGTACTGTAAAGACACATCCACTCCACCAGCTTATGCTATATACTGTCTTCATAACCTAGAAGTCACATCAATTATACTCATCTAACAGATTCCCACCCATCATGATAGAGCAACTATCTTATCTGCTGCTATCACTTACTGCCATTTAGGAAGAAGAGATTCAGAGAAAGCAATATTATATAAAACACAATTAATTAATAAAACCAGCTCCACCCTCTGCTTCTTGGGTGGGATCACAACTAGTATCTGGGCAATCTTAACATTTTAATGATTATTAAAAAAACTTTAAAAAATTCCTTTAAAAAGGTAAGATGAATATATCAGTTATTCTTCAAAAGAACAGAACTGCACAAACATAAAATACTACCATCTCCCAATGTTGCCAGAAAAAGATGTCTTAACTATATACATCAATAGATGTTTAAATAATATAAAGGGGAAAAAAAACAGGAAACCTTCACCTAAATTACTATAATTCTGAAAACAGATCCAGTCAAATATTAAAGATCAATTGAGATAACTGAAAGACAAGTGATAGGTTAAAAGTTGCACGCTGATATAAATCTTACCTGTCCGTGGGTCCAATATGGAAACATAGGGGAAATCCCCTAACTTATAAAACTGTATGTATCTCTGACCTTCCTCACTGTCATGATAAACCTGTTAAATCATTGACATAAAAAAAAAAGTCAGCCTCTAAGAAAAGAACCAACTATAACCTTGTTATATACCAACATCAATTAGCTCTCCAAATACACCTCTGGCATATGTATTAAGATCTCACTCCTACACTAAAGAGATAATGAAGGTCATCTGGTTCGAACTCCTTCAACTTCCTACTTTCAGCACCCTCTGGAAATTTACCATAAACATATCAATCCATTCCTCTTCCTTTCCCAGTTCAGATGAGGTATCCTTCTTCCCGCTCAAGTTATCTGTCAACCTATGTCATTCATAACTCTCAACCATATACATCTTAATAAATCGCAATGTATTAAGATTATGGGCCGGTCGTGGCGGCTCACACCTGTAATCCCAGCACTTTGGGAGGCCGAGGCGAGTGGATCACAGGTCAGGAGATCGAGACCATCCTGGCCAACATGTGAAACCCCCATCTCTACTAAAATACAAAAAGTTAGCTGGGCATGGTGATGCGTGCCTGTAGTCCCAACTACTCAGGAGACTGAGGCAGGGGAATTGCTTAAACCTGGGAGACAGAGACTGCAGCAAGCCGAGATCGCGACACTGCACTCTAGCCCAGCGACAATGCAAGACTCTGTCTCAAAAAAAAAAAAAAAAATGGCTCTGCATGGTGGCTCGCACCTATAACCCTAGCACTTTGTGGGGCAGGGGCAGAGGACAGCTTGAGGACAGGAGTTTGAGACCAGCCTGGGAAACATAGCAAAACCCCATCTCTACAAGAAGTTTGTTTTTGTTTTTAAATTAGCCAGGTTTAATGGTGTGCACCTATAGTCCCAGCAACTCAGGAGACTGAGGTGGGAAGATCCCTTGAGCCTATAGGGGTTAGAGGCTGCAGTGAGCTATGACTGCACCACTGTATTCCAGCCTGGGTGACAGAGTAAGACCCTATTTATAGAA